CGGTTTGGGGCATTGAGAGCGAGCGGATTACCACCGGGCATGCCGGGGACAAAAGCGTTCCACCACTGCAGCGATGAGCCACAAAGCACTGCTGCACGCTAATCTGGCCCCTATTGAAAAGAGGTCAGCAGTGTACTGAGCCAGGTTCGTGAACAAAAGAAAGTTACATAGCACCACATAATCTGGGCTCTTTTTACAAGGCTGCAGGCCTGGCTGAAATACTCGGGTGTCAATGAAGGTCACCTGTCAACTTAGAATAGTGCCTAAAGATTACTTCATGTGGCTATAAATGACCCTTAAATGAAATGATGAATTTTTGAAGAATTTTGAAAACGGAAAAAATGACAGTCACGGAGGCCCAGCATCATCAACATTGAAAAATGCCCGGCATGAAGTGGTTAATACATGCAAGTCTGTACATACATAACGATGCAGAAACTCATGGTAACCACACACTATACATGTAATTGTATACTTTTTACCACTTTTTATAAGCTTTTGTAAAGAGAGAAAAAAATCAAATCAAAAGATCCATTTGCCAACTGCTATTCTTGGCCACAAAAAATGGACACTTTTATTTGAAGAAAAAAGTACCTGTCCATCAGGCAATTTGTCCTTAATTTTTACTTGCCCAAACTGAAAGAAGATATTTGTCCCGCACAATCAGAATACCGTGAGTGTCAAGGCCTATCATGGACATGGTGTTTCCTCCTGCCACTATTCTCTGGTCGTCTACTGCACATGAACAGCCGTACATCCTGAGTAAGAATGGGTCCTCTGGCACCACAGAGAAATCATCATTTTATTTTGTACTCTTTTAGAGAGGGGAGGGGAGCCAGGAAAAAGAGTACACTTTGAACACTTGTAAAAATGATGACAAAAATGGATGACCCCTTATGTACATGTACCTACTGCCATACAGGTCACGTTAGTGTCTTTGTCATTATTGCTGTCATTTCCAAACCACTGTCATCATTCCTCTCGTCATCTTAACATCACTTTTAGTTTTATCCCGTTTCCTTACCTCATCCATGCCAGATGCTGTAAAGTAAATACCCACTTCTTTAGCATACTCCTGCAGTTCTTTGTATTGTGCATGGCTGAATTCCAAGAAGCGTTTATGCTCTCCATAGGTTCTGCCAAATGAATTCTTGGAGGTATATGGACGTGCTAGGGCTGCTTTGTTGAACTTGTACTGAAGTTCTGACTTTTGAAATTTAGCGCAATCTGCCCCTGCCTCCTGTGGATGTGGTCAAGGAAGATGTTAGGAGAAAAAGTTGCTTCAAAAACAACAGTAAGTATTTTAGTTTGAAATACATGAACATAAACTTGATCAGATTGAATTCCTTGCTATAAAATAATCAACTAAACAGATCTACTGAGGTGATCATTCACTATCTTTTTAACGATTTGTGAAGACACCCCCCCTCCTTTCTAACCATCTTACTCTTTATGAGGTTGTAATGCTATGGGTTTTTAAATCCAGTCTAGTTAGATAAATTACTTCTCTAGAGTTTCACCTTTTTAATCAAATCTTTCCCCCAAAAGCTGTCCCAACAGCTCCATATCTCACTCAAACTTTTGAATGATGGTTTTGAGCTACGCCTCCTGAGTTGATTATCCATTGAACAGATTATATTTCAAAGACAAATCAACTCAGAATGGAATGCAATAAATTTGCACAAGATTTAAAAGTATTCTGAACAATTTCATCATGTAGCCTATGAAAATGGTAATCATTGAGCTGATACAGGAGGTTGGCCATTAACCTGACACATGTGCACTGTGTATACTATGTATGAAGTGTACATGGTGTAATTGACAATGTGTGGAGAAAAAGAGAGGAATGGGCGAAAATCTCAGTTTTTTCAAAAATGGTCACATGGAAATGATAAGAACATCACTTAGAAATTACTTTTTTGAAGAAGATTTGATCTTCAAGATAGAAGTACTACTGAGGCTGGATTAAACAACCTGAAATGTTTTGACCTCACAAAAAGCAGTAGTGCTAGAAGGTACGTGTACATGGGGGGTGCCTTCTAAGTTCTAGCTTCTAGGTGATCTAAAAAATCTTGAGGTAAATTTAGAAGAATGTCACCTAGAAACTTTTGTGATGACTGACATATTCCGCAGTGGGTCAAGCACTCAGAGACGGCTGTTGTACATGTTGCATGTCCTATCTGTAACAACACACTTTACACCTTGTTGAGATCCCATCATGCAACATCCATAGATGCTTGACCCACGGCACAATATGGCTGCCACTGTGGGAGTTTCAATGAGACTTTGCTCCACATTTGCTTTGAAATATCAAGACAGCTAGAGGGCCAAAGGTACAAAAAGTAATTTTAGGAACTGATTATATTGTCAATTTATGCTGTATGAAATTTCAAGCTTAGAAACATTTCCCAGTCTCATTTTCAGGGGACCTAAGCAATGGGGACTCTCCACACAAAAACAAATGTAACGGTAGCCTAGTGGACGTTGTCTACATTGCATTGCGACTAACGTCCAGAGTATAAAGTCTTTGTGCCATGGCAAAATTGTTTTCAACGGTTTTCCGTCGTGATTTGTGAATGTATGTTCGTCTAGTAGTATGCAGTTGCACATGCGCCAAAATGCATAAGAATCGTCTGCCCCTTACACATACACAGAAGAGCTGTGGTCATGGATAAGTGGCAGATACATGTAACTAACAGAATGTGGGCCAAGCTTTACAGTCAATGAAAATTGGCAGTTTTTGAGTCGAGTTTTCTTTCCACTCGCATGTTTTGAGTATGGTACCATGTCGTCCATGCATGCAAAAGGGGCGGTCGGTTGCTATGCATTTTACGCATGCGCCTACCACTAGACAAATGTAGATCGTTCACGACGAATAATGAAGTTGCGCTAAATTGCCTGCAAAATACGTCATTCACTGGCGAATTTAGTAATTTCAGCACAGAGTTTAAGGAATTCGGGATACAAGGCACTTGTGAATGACATTGTAGCTGCTTCCGGAATTTCCCCAGTTAACTGGTTAAAAATGTGAGAAAAAAACTTTTGAAAAATTCTCGCATTGTTAGAGGACTTTATACCCTAGATGTCAGTCGTAGTGTAAATGAAGCAACGTCCAACCTGGGCTAAATGTAATGATGGTGTCATGTGGCTGACAATTATAATTTATTATCATTATGGGGCTAGGCCTAAAGCTAGGGAGTCCAGCACTTTTCAGGTTTTTCAATTTGACCCCCACAAGTTTAGTACCATTGGAAAGGTAATTGTTAATAATAAACACAAGATACACGTACATGTATACAGTAACAGGTCAGTTGAGTTGGGCTTGAAATTTTGAGTGATATGTAAAAGATCACTGAAGCATAGTTTTGATGTGATACTCTGTCATCAATAAATAACTATAAAAATAAGGGACCAAGTCTGTCAGGTGTCATAAGTTAAAGTCTGTTCGTGTTTGACAGGATCTTTTGATATATTTGATTAAAGCACGTGTGCTTTATGTGATTGTTATTTGCATCTTGCTCCCCGTTCACCATGCATCAATCTGATGCACATGCATACACCATATGAGCACAGTTGCACGACAGCATTCCAATACAAAAGGGCTGTTTGGCACCAGTTCAACATCAGTTTTTGACAAAAAAACAACTTCCTTTTCTTCCTAAAATTCCAAGCTTCCAAATAAACACCGTTTCATATATGTTTCATGAACTCCTTATACACGTTTTGGGGGGATTTTCAAAAGAAATATACACATTTTTGTTACCTTTTTGTAGTCTTCACAAACCCAAACAAGGCTTGACGGTGCTTTGGTCAAATGCCTTGAGTCATACATCAAATGAAAGAGTATATTAAGCTCTACAAGATGATGACATCATCGTTCCAACCCGGTTGAGTCTCGCGAGTTATTAGGCTTAGACCAGACTATGTCACACGACAACAAAGATGGCCGCACACGGTTGTTGATGTACAGTAAATGGCTCCGATCTTACATCATTTTCATCATACTTTACACCCAAAACTCGACATAAACAGACATAATAAATGGTACTAACACAAATTTAAGTTCTTTTACAACACAACTGCTTTTTAAAATATAGAATTTGATGCACAAAAAGGGCAGAAATCACAGATTGAAAACAAACACTTTTACACGCTTTCAGATATACAATTTAGAGGTGCTGTTTCGTTGGACTCCCTACTAAAGCCTAGGGCCTATCTTCTCATAAACTTAAGTATATCACCATTAACCCTCTGCACAATTTCATAATATATATCTTTGGGGTAGATCAAATCGACATTGCACTTCTTTTTTTGAAAAGTTCAAAGGCCATGAAGGCCGCTCTGCCCAAGAATATGTAGAACGTCTGCAGGCCTATATGATGTACATGTACAGTACATGTATGACGTAGGCCTAAGCCTAAAGTCGGTGCCTACCTTCGCAATTTTGATCATCTGTTTGGCTATATTGATGTCTCCTTGGTGATTCTGTCCAATCTCTGCGATGATGAAACACGGGTGATCACCACCAATCATTCGACCAGGGGCTAGCTCAAATTCAAGAGGCATTTTGGCAGAGTTTCTTCAATAAATAATGATATACTTTTGAACTCACAGATCGATAACTTTCACGTGGAAAGTTGACAAAATGCAACCTTTCACATTAACAGGTACCCGGCCGACCCAGGCCCAGCGCACTGTCACGACTTGTTAATTAGCACAGGAAACGAGCTAAGGTACGGTAGGGGCCAGCGTTAGTGATACTGACCAATATTAAGCCCTTGAGGGCGCTATATCGCTTGCCTGGTGAGCGTGACCGTAAAACGAGGTCAGCAAGCATGACGTGACATGCTAGACATCGCCAACCCCATGCAAAACAAACTCTAAGGAAGCGTTGAATTCATCGAAACCCTTGCAATGGACGCCACATTACGTTAGTTTGACTAAATTTTATCCTCTGACTTTACTTCCCTTTTTTGAAACAATCTTTCGCAAGTATGATTTAGAAACTGGACTAACCAATGCAATCGTCTGAAGGTAAACTTTTCGACAGAATGTATTGCAAGATCAAATGATAGCCCAGAGATCGACTGCGAGGTTGCGCAGATATGCGATCGTCGGCGCCCAGCTTATACAAGCACAACATGATATTTTATTAGACAAATATTAATAGTTCAGCTTGTTCGATGATACAGAATTGCGAAAAATATCAGTGGTGCTCCTGATTTATTAAATATCTACACACCTTATTTATGCGAAGCAGGCGAAGTGGTGCAAGACCATTTATGGTATGTGATACACCTAAAGCAACGTTCGGTCATGCGGTGGTCAGCCTCTAGAGAGGAAATCCCAAAGTGCTATGTTTAAAAAAGGAAAACAATTTATTATGGAATTATTATGCTCTGGAAAATGTCATTTGACAATTGGAATCTGCATTGAATTAGCTTATCCCCGTTTTCATTTTAGGTTCAAGTTTCTCCTTTTCAAACTTACGACGCTGCTATATAATTGCCCCCCAATTCAAGATGCATTTGGGGAAGCTATAATTGCCACTTCCCCGAAAGCAAGCGGTGAACATCACAGATTACAACACTGTGACGCTAGGTGGCGCTTCTAGAAGAGAACTGTGAGCGCCATCACAGTCTGTCTGTGAAACAAGTGACTCTGTAAGTTGATTTGGACTACAGACCCTGAATAATTACTTGTGCATCAAAAGTTCCAATTGAACGATTAATTATGGGCTGGTGCATAATTAAAATGTGTGAAAAGAAGTCCTTGCGCTAGTCAGCCTGTTATAAATGAGACTACAATGGCTGATTACAAGCTAACGGACCTGACAGACAAGCTCGACCAAGCAATTAATTAAAGAGCAGTCACCGATTAAATGGAGATATTATCGTGGTCCAGTCGGCGGCCAAACGGTATATGGTCCCTTGTTAGCAACCAAACATAATTATTATCATCAAATTCTAGAACCGACTCTTAGGCAGGGAAAACGTGCTAAGTTCATATGTTTGAACAGGTAACGTGTGTTGCTGTAAAACTGGAAACCTTTGTTATCGAATAATATGATGATGACATCCGTGGTTTAAAAATAGATCCAATCGTGTAGAAACGCTGCCTGGCTTATTTTATTCGTCAACAGCGTATGGAAAGCGCGGATTACTTGAGACAATTATGTCTTCCAAACTAACATTGAAGCCCTTCTTTGGAACAATAAATGGTCATTTAGGGTCCAACATTAGTACATGGAATATTCAGCTTTTAACCACACGTGTTCCCTCAGCCCCGTGCTGTTTTAGTATATAAAAAATTATGCCAAGAGAATGTTGAGGATATAAACTTCGGATCCACTCGCTTTTTGAACTTTTTCATGGAAATCAAGCATCCAATACGAATTGGTTGGGGAACTGCCATTTTTTCCTATAGAGTTTTTCTAATGATGATGGTAAGGTGGACCAAATTAATTTCTTCCCAACTGAAGGGAATTTTTCGTTGGGCATGGCTCGGAAAGCGAAAGCGCATGGATCGTTCAGGGTGCTCTTAAATGTTTTTTTTTTTCTGAAAAGTACATCCATGGACATGAATGCATCTTATTATTTCTGGATTCGTTCCCAGACAAATCGTAGGGAATCGAAAAACCGTTTATACGTTGATGAAACCTGATCCATGCATTGCCTGCGTGCATAATTCGATACGTGCTGCATTTCATCAATCGGAACATCTTTCGATGGAATTCCATCCCATGTTCTGATATTAAATCCACGCCAGCAGGCTCCAGTTAGATTTACCTAGTACTTTGATTTATCACGAAGTCTTCAGGTAGAGAAGTCTTCGGGCAATAAGCCAAGCCCTTTCCTCCCATCGTCTAACCGTCATCGCGGGCAATCTTAGCGGCCACTGCCGAACTTCCATATCGCCATCTTGCCCCAAGCCTCGTTCAAAAGCTCTGTACTTCGTCTCCAGTAAAACTGAGTAAGGCACTGATGAATGAGCGAGACAAGTCAGTTTCTGCAGTTTTCCAAAGAGAAATAATTCAGTTACCTTTAAATCTAAAACATGGCTCTTGAATAATGTTGCGTGTGGTTCATGATTCTTAGGATCATGCCTTCTAGGGAATAATAACATATAAAGAGAACTTAAGAGCACATCACGTACAGATTGCTGATCCCAAACCTAAAGGGCGGTCATTTAAAGAAGACACACTGTTTCTCAAAACTTATTTTGCATGAATGGAACTAAAAACTGGAAGACAAAGACGAATCCAGGACAAGGTCTATAAAAGCAGCAATGAGGCACCCTGCAGACACTCATCTATAATTGCTAAAATAAAAACATTCGAAGTTATTTTTAGGCCCTCACTTCAACGCAAGATAGAGACATTCCTGTGGGTATGCTGGTTCCTATTTATAGGAATATGTCTACTAAACATACAAACGATTGATATCCAAGGATTAAACACACAAAACGAGCAGTACCCTGTCCAGTGTCGTCACAAATTTGATTTCTCCGGGTAACCGTAATCCTACACGGAGGTAAAATTCTAACATTTGAGAAGAGCAGCTGAAAGTCTTAATTTTGGTGTTGTTAAGAAGTACACCTTTGAAATCTGGAGATTTAAATGTTGTCTGTCTAGCAGTTCCAGCATTTTATAATTTTACGCTGACATCGATTGAACTGCCAAAAGCTTCTGAATTTAGATCAGTCGGGGCCTATAGAACTGGTAAGAACCCAAGACAGAAGAAGGCCTATATTTACTAAGAACTGATTGCCCATATTTCAAGTAAGAAGCCAGGCAGCGTTGCTGCAAGCTAGAATGATAATTTAAACTAGTCAGTTTGTACCAACCCGAGAGGGATATCTGGTATTTCGCTCTGCCTCATGTTTTGCATATTGATGTAAGTACTCGACCACAGCATCCGATCGAGGCGACGAATACTGAGGGATGTTGCACAAGTACTACGACAGCAAACGCCGTCCGTCAGAGAAACAGAGAACACGCATTTTAATACAAAGTCGGCCTAATTTCTTTCCATGAACAGATGTTTTTATCAGTTTGGAGTATTTCCATAGTAATGCAGAGTCAACACGGACACACACGAATTTCGCAGTGCTTGAGGAGGTACAAGGTTGCGTGAATATTCCCTTGGGGTCAGATTAGGAATACACCAGTGTGATTTCTGTGGACTGTAGCTAGGGCCCTGCATGCATGTAGGTTCTTCAGTAGAGACAGTTACTACATCAGTTGCAATTTCTGTATACTGATTAGTAATTTGTACTTAATTCACACATCGCTTCCGATTTAGCCGAGGTTCTGACGTGAAATAACGTACTTTTATTTATCATGATTTTTTTATTTCAATCGGAGAATCAACTTGGCCTAGAACTGGACAACCGCAAATTTACATCTGAAGTGCATATTAAGGCTTGTTATCCATCGTGCTTTTTAATTTGACCTTCTTCCTATTAAAGGTCGTTCAGAAGTAATTAGTGTTGCTCTCACGATCTTGACATTTAACAAGGAGATGATAAAGATGGGTCAAACAACGCTGACGCGCCTAACTTAAAGTACAGACACTATGAGGACAATCCAAAATAAGACCGAACTTTCTTCACTTTGTTAATACTTGAGCAAAACTCCGTGTCGTGTCGTGCCCTCTATCACCCCTGAATCTTCTTTTGAATGAAAATTGATCGTTTCTTTAATTACTGACCCTCCTGTGAGTTGTGTTACCAAGACAACATCAATCGCTGCAACATCTTATTTTGTGCTGATGTTGTCTCTTATACAACTGACACACAGTAGACTACGAGACACCCTGCATACACACCCAAAAGATGGAATCAATCAACTAGCCAGAGGGGAGCAACCCCCAGCAAAAAAGAGGTTGTTTTAGTATTGGAGCAAAAATCGATGGTGATTACATCCAGGTCTGAGGGTCTAAACACGAAGGAATGAGGCATCACACTGACTACAACCAGCATTGTCCGCTTCACTTGGCCATTGCACGCAAGGCTCTCTCTATACCCAGCTGCCGAAAATGTAGTACTATTTACAATCCTGTGTGACTTTCACTGTTAGTGAATTACTGCCCAATTCTGAATGATAGGAATTTTAAATTAACCGAGGAAACTTACAACGGAATGTGAGCATCGTAACTGATTATTTTGGACACTTCATTATTCAAAGTTGAAAACATGAGTATCTTGGCACTTGAATCAGGGGTCTCTATAAGAAGCATCTTGTCAGGAATTAGCACTCTATTGAGCAGGTGATAACAGTAAACAAAAATAACTATCTAAAGGACGGCATTCCAACAGTGAAACGTCACACAGCCGATCCGGGAGTAACAGGAAGATTTGATTTCCAAATACCAAAACGAAGATCTGGTCAGATAATTTGTCTTGGCAAGGAAAGAGTACTATATGTTGCCTGCAGTTTAGAATTTGGCATTTCCGAATTTGAAAACACCCTGAAGCCAGTGATGGCTTAAGGATATGCATTAATTCATCGGTAGAAAAGGGTTTCGAGATTTCACCTCACAGTTTTGTATGAGAAACTGGAGGAGACAAGACTATATAATTAGATAGATCCGTCACCCGCGTCTGGCAATATGCCAATCTCAGTGAATTTGAAACTCAGGTCACCTTGCTTGACTACATTGACCTACATGACCTGTTTACTACCCGCGTGGACTCAACCAGTTCTGTTTTCTCAAGAGTCTTGATCTTTGACCGAGTGAGTTGATCACATCAGCGTCACCCTGTCAATAAATACCAGTCCTCAGAATCCCTGAAGTCACTCACAAGGTAGAATACGATTGAGCTTGACAAGCACAACCCATCTACTGGTTAGCTTGGATGATTTCCTTCCGTGTCACCCCATAAAACGACATTCATATGAAAAACATTGCGTGGCCTTCATGTCAACACATTGCCAGAAGTGAAAACTATGAACTCCTGACTCTATCAAATTACCTGCTGTTGTATCTTTGATTGTAAAATTGGTATTAGGCCTACGGTAAATATTAACCAATCTGCTTTCCAGGGATTGACAAAATATGCCTTTTAAATTGACCAATAAAATGTGTAATACATGCCCAATGTACTAAAAGTCATCTTTAGTTTCTCCGATCCGTCGCAGCTTAATTGTCGTGGCTTAAATTTGGATGTGACGATATAGCTGATTGGCACAGCAGGTAGCACTATGCATATCCCGGCCCCGTGCAACCGGTCACCTGAGTATACGAGGCAAGCAGCAACGAACCAGGAGTCAAACCACAAGGGCTGCAGGAGCCTGGGGCCTTTATCGATAATACTTCAAGGCAATAATATCAATTATCATGGTGATGACACAGAGCATACGGAACTCCTCATGGCAAGAATAACTACCCGCTTCCAAACTAACACTGAAACATGGTTGGCAACAGTTTATGAATTTGGACAAAGAAATTGAAGGATATGTACCCAAAGCAGCATTATATACAAACATTTTGTACACTGTGGCGCGCATTTCTTCCTTATCTAAACGTTTAATCACATGGTATAACCAATGCCTTCCTTCCAATCCATTAGCGAACATTTTAATGGTGTCATTTTACATCTTAGTTCTACGTTACTCAGCCTAAACCACATGTTTCTTTTGCAAATCTCGACCCATGTTATTGTATTTCCCTAGGAAACCCAAATCCTAATATTCTGCACGGTCTTTGGTTCTCTTTTCTTTATCTGACGTCATCTGACACCCACCCCTTTGCTGAACTGGTAACATGGCCGGTAATTCACTTAGTCCCGTCCCTCCATTAGTGCACTGCGCTGGGATTAGTGTGAACCTCAACGCCTTACTGGGAGACAAGACGTCTTGGATTGGCCAGCGGACAAACATCGGTAACCTCAGAAGATACTGGTGAGAGAAGCTGCGAGATCGATGCCTGGATGAACCCAGGATCTAAACGGACCCGAGGGAAACTAAAGACTAAAGGACATCACACCAGGGGCAGATACAATGTCAATGCACAAGATTGGCACGACTATAATGGAAATGTCCTCGCTTGCGACTTGAACATCAAGAGTTGAACTAATAACTGGGATTCCAAAACTTCTGACATGCAGAAAAAAGAGTGTGCCAAGCGTGCAATTAACTAGTAATTTTGCTGCTAGAGCGAGCAGCCCCATCTTTCCACCTTTCATACTTTGCGGTTACCTTTCACTGTTACAACTTAAAATTATGGTTTTGATTTCGTTGTTATAATTAAAGACAATTTGTCAATCTAATAAGTAACATAAAAACTACGTGCATTTACTCATGGCACTACTAACGCACATTTTGTAAAGTCCATAATATATACGGCAGTCTCTTACATTCTGACTACACGATTTGCATAATTTATTCACGTATATTGTGACTGAGATATAAATGATAGAATCTTGGAAAAGATTCATCATTTGTATCTATACTTGAACATTTGGCGAGTTTGGTTTTTACTTAGTAAGCTGAGCAAATATTAGCTCGTTGGCAGCTGGACCCACTTANATTTACCAACCAAACCAGGTAAATATTCTAAACTTACAGATCCGAAAACCCTGCATAATTATCAATGGTTAAGTTATATCTGTTGGCCCACCGAGCAAACTGTATTACTACGGTTATACTGGCAGGTTTTAGTTGCGAGAGAGCGGAGTTTACACGTGAACGGATGCATATAGCTACAGCGTCAACTCAAGACATCTTTACTACCCTAGCTTGCTTGACACTCATGTAAGAATGAGAGACCCTGCTGATTTGGGGAATTTAATTCCTGTAATAATTCCCCCGGAGAAGCAATCAAACAGAAAAATCCTCAAAGTAGTTTGACCAGTGCATGACACCATACTGCTGTGGAATCTAATACTAAAATGCGCGCCAACGGCCTGTGAAAATGAGATCGCAACATGGAGGAATTTAATTACCGTAAGCAAATAAAATCTACGACCTAGGCGGTATATTGGTGACATTGGGGCAACATTTTAGCACCACATATTGACCGGATAAACATCACGGGGTAAAATTAATTCATGACGAGGTCACCAGGTATGCGGCTGGTGGGGGACCGATCCTTTCAAATATATGCTATAGCAGCCACTGTTCAATATAACGTAAACACAGCAGAAATTTCCCGTCTGTGGAACGCGGCGGGTTTCCTATTATTTCTTAGAATATATGCTTGAAAGCAGAACTCTTCTGATCTGGAGACAAACTGACCTTAGAGAAAACCTCAGATCATGGGATCATCACCTAAGAGGCTATACGGCATGGCCTGCTTGTACTATATCGGTATCACTCCAGTAAAGCACCAGTTTAAAACAACCTTTGAGAATGAAATAAAAAAAACTTATCGGTGAATCTACTGCAAGATGATAGTATTCAGGTGAATTCGCAAACACTCAACACGCGTTTCTGCTCAAGTGAGCACTTAATTCTTAAGCCCGCTGAGTCGTGCAAGAATTCTTGGTTTTCCCTTCATTTAGCGGGATTGCCTTCTCACAATTAATTCATTATTCTTACTTCGACGACAGTTGTGCATAGCCTCCGGACTCAAATAGAGAATTAATTAGGTTTTAATTTACATTGATGCCACCCTTTATGTCTATTGATTCTCCACGGTTGCCATTCGAAGGGCGTAATTACTTCGTTCGTATTCAATGTTACAGTTTTATAAACACTGTAGCGTTTGTTTTACTAACTCCGGCTTAAGTAAACTATACGCAAGCAATTTGACTACTGAGTTAACTTTCTTGGATGAGCTACTGAGTGTTCAGTCTCGTTCTCAAATGCTAGAAAGTAAACTTAGAATTGTTCTGTTCTGTTGTCCAGTCACCAGCACTTATTTCTAGAGGTCAGTTACATTGAAAATTGGAACCTAAGTATACTGCAAACAATTTTATTGGTGAGTTGGGTAACAACCGTATCGTCGTTTTAAAAAATATATGTAGTTAATAAAGGCCGTGAAATTAAAATGAATTTAGCTAATTAGTAAAAATTTGAATTGAAAGAGGAGGGTGGCATTACAACTTGGACCAAGTACAATGTAAATAGGTTATGTGTGAGAATAATCCAACAAAAGAATGAATAATTAACTGTCAAATTATTCCGTGCCTTTCATTTATCAGGTAGATTGAGATCGACGTGAGGTACATGAGGATAACAAATTGGTTAGGCAAGCACAGCTGGTGTATCTACTCACCCATCGCCAACTCAGACTTTAATCAATGCCGTAAATTGCTCAGCGACACGTTTCAAAAACAAAATAGTGACGTTCTCTCGTACACCGCTAAAATATTTATGTGTTACTTGACAAGACTATTACGTCACGTAGCGACGTGTGGCTTCCCATAGCGTTGCTAAGGGAGGGGGGGTCTTTAATGGAAATTTGTAGAAAAAACCGAACCTATCACTCTGTTTGCAGAATTATCTGCGTTACTGTCGAGAGTACTATTGTGAAGCTAGGAGTCATTACATGGATCTTAGAGACAATTCTAACCCACAGTTACGCCCATGTCTATTGTGACACATCCGTCTTATATCATGTACAAATGACGCATATCTTTTAGGAAAGACGTAAACTTTGCTAAGCGACGTATTAAATGTCACTAACGATTTCCAAACGCCTGGAGATTTGTATTGAGATGGAACGATATCCTTTCATCGAAAGTTAACTGCCACATGGTAAGAGTTCACCCACCTACCTGTTTCAATGGAGAAGTTACGCAAGCTATGTTAAGTACCCGGTGGTTGCTTGATCCTATCTGCTTTGGGGAAATCAACAACTTGTCGGTTGATATAGGCCTATAGGTGTTGTGAAAACCAGACATGATGGTGTCAAGTAAGGGAGGGGGTAATTTGTCATAACGTCACATTCCTTTATGATATGCTCTGTTTTCATCTCTCTGACTTTCTAGCTTTTCACAAAATCTCTTCTGACAACTAAGTGCTTTTCGGATTCGCAAAGGTTGTAAATCATCAATTGATGAGTCAATCACATATTGATGACTGCAATCAATATATTTGATAAAAAGATACTGCTTTTAAACAAATTCATTGGCTGATGAGTCACCGTTTTTCAATACAAAAAATGCAGAGATTATTTTGACAAAATTATGATCCAAACATTGAGAAATATCTACAACAGGATCTGGGAATCACGCAAAAATAATATATCATTTAAAAAAAAATAAAATTGTTAAAATTTCAATGTGTTAAACACTTTGATTAACGAGAGGCTAGTGTTGAACACAAACAGCAAAGATTAATATCAATCAAGGTTGTCAACATCAATAAGAAATTAGAGCAAAATGCTGGTTAAGAATTATCGATTATTGTTGATGATGACACTCGACGTCTTAGACGTCCTGTAATCTTTGTCTGCTTCTTATATGGAAGTAGAATCGACAGAAAATCCCATGAGTCAGAAGACTTTGGAAGCTTCTTAGGATTAAGTTCTGTCAGCTCAAAGGGTGTTACTGCTCACAAAGGTAGGGGGAAGAAAACACTTGCATATGCCTAGAAGGTATCAGCAAAGACTGAACTGAATGTATCAGATACCTGATTCAGGAACACGTTATTTCTTTCGAATCATAGCAGCTCATTTTTCAAAGGTCATGCATAAGACTCATCGCAAAAGTAGCAACAGACTAAATAACCCAACGCAACAACACATAAAATATAACTTGAGAATTGGTCAAGAAAACTCGAGCACTAATTTGGCTCTTCACACAGCACTTTAATGACAACTTTTTGTTTCTATGTAAGAGTGGAGTCAATATTAACCACAGCTTACATGCCGAGATTTCTGGTATCAAATAATTATTGACAGATATCAATTGTTAATCTCATACCATTTATGGAAAAATAAATCACATGTGGCTGTAGGTGTGAGATACAAAAACAAGCTTTTTATTAATTCTTCCCTGATCAATTTGTACTGTTATCGAGACATCATGAGTTACCTGTGATGCTATTCGTATGACCCCAATGGGATCCACGGATTAACTCGTCATTCTTTGCATTGGGGACGCTATGGACAGAACCAATGCAGTGACGGGACAATAGAGTCGGTTGTACCTATTGCAATCGATATTGGATTGTGCTATCAGGGAGTTGCACAGAAGAGCAACATATCAATAGATAGCCACAGGCTTGCTGGACCATAAATGAAACGAGTGCTTCATTAATCGTGGCACAAATTAGTAAGCTTTTCATATTCATTTCCTGAGCAAGATGATTATATGATACTGTTGATAGGGTTTAAGGCTACCCCTTGTGAACGTTCCTGGATATCACGATAAACAGCATTGCTCATTTGGCAATCGATGTAATGTGTTTGACCAGATCCCTTGAGCGGCAGTTGTTACCCAACTCAAAACAATTTCCCGCAACCAACTCTCATTCCAAAGTTTGCTACAGTCATATCATTTAGGATTTCGTATCAATCAATAAAACTACAAAAAGGTGGTATTTCAAAGTCAACAAGGTCAACAAATACCACAGTAATTAAGCATGGAACAGTAACTGGACAAAACGCTAAGGACTTTTTCTAAGCAAATCTGTTCTTAACAGGTGAAAGTAAGCAAAGCGCAATAGGATCAATTATATAACTCAATTTTTAAGCATTGAGAATGTCATTCCAAATTTCTAAAACAAAAATACAAAATGGGAAAAGGCACTTGATATTCAATTTTTTCTAGTCTACTACTACTATATATTAGATCTAAAATTGAGATCTGAGAAACTTTGTCAGGAGAAAGCCCCAATACACAGTTCCATATATGGACGAGGCACGTGTTTTCAAATCCCATCTACATCGAAATATAATTGACTCCCTTTGGGTGTTTATCATATCAAGAGAAAGGCATAAAACGAAAGCAAGAACTCTTTTGTCGTACGCTTGGTTAGGGATAATTCAAGGAGACAACTTGGCCTTTTACCATGTCGGTATTGCTCAACCACATGCACACAGTCAGCCTGGATTGAACACGAACTGTCTGAATAATTGCTCTGATGGCTTCGTGTCCAACGAACCCAAGCTCACAAAATCGATCTGTGCTCCGCCACCATTTGTGTTTGACTTGCAATTACCCCTACTTTGGTCTGCCTTTAATTTGCTTGATTGTCCAGCTTTCTTTTGTAGAGATGGATTTTTGTTGTTTGTTTTCACTCCCAATGCGCAGGATTTGGAAGATTTTCAGGGAACCGGGAGGGGAAGTTTTGACTGTCAAGTGAAAGTTGAGATGAAATGGTCTGATATTCTAAAAACGATATCATGCTGAAGCATTGGGAATGTTGTGTTAATCTGCATCTGTGATGCTAAGAGCATCTGTCTGTTTGGCCTATGCTGACACAGATGTCAAACTTAGAGGGAAAATTATAATGGGAAAGAAGAGTCAGAAAAATCAAGCTTCAAACATTAATATTGACGCTGCAGTTTCAACACCGACGCATACTCATCTCTCGTCAAAAATTCGTAATATACCAACATACTTTCAAGTTAGCCGATCTATGGAGTAGGTGCAGGCACTGGACACCGAGTGTGAGAGATCCTATGTAACAAACCTAACAACAATGGACATAACAAGTACAACCAATCAAAGGCTTCAGCCCTCAACCGGCGTTTTGCCAGGTGCATTCAGAAGGTGAGTCATGATACAGGCATTGCAAGGTAAAGCAATAATCCTTGTTTGTGTATGATTGCTCAATAACACCCAGCAGTGATCGAATTTAGTGATCGTACCTAGCTCTATTGGCTCTAGGGCTACAGACAAGCCGGAAGAACACATTGACCGGCTACCTTAAGGAAAGCGCAGAGTAAGAGTCGAGGGTGGCGTGAACTAACAATACTGACTTCATTTAGTCTGAGTGGTTCCTGCCCGTGAGTAATTAGAAAGGAGCCTAGACATCAGTGAGTGGTTTCATTTGTAAGAGTTCTTTAAGGCACATCTTTTATCTGGAGCGGATTGGATTAAGGGTGGAGATCTGCCCTACAGAACGGGTGACAATATACCGGTATGTTGCAGGTGATTCACCTCACGATGCAGGACAAATACATGGACAGGGCAACTTCGTCGGTCACCTACATCTCCTGCTCAGTAACACATGATGTTGAATATTTCTCCTCAGGTAAATCAAAGTTATGCCCAAAGATTGGATGAAATGATATACCATGGAACGTCCCTGTCTTTGGACAACATTCAGTGCAAAGTGAGGCTTTTCCCCACATTACCAGCACCATCGACGTAAGAAGCAAGGCTATTTTGCGTGACATAACGCCACAGAGCATCGAATACACAAAAAATACACCACACCGCACTGTAAGCGGGTTGGCTGACTTCTGTCATGTGGTCTTGTTTATGGAACTCGGCCAGTGGATACCACACGTGCATTTACAAACTGAGACTCGGTGCTATCGGTAGTGCGGTGGTTTACTTCAGAGAAACATTTACCACAGTTCAACGATTCCCAAGTCAAGCTACAAGTGACCATGCGACTATCTATGATGAATATGACACAATAACAACAAACGCGCATATTATGATCGAGATGGTTGACTGCAATCTTGTGCACTCCACACTGCTTCACTGGACATATCAACCAACGTCAGTTGAACACGTCAGACATTACACGCTGAGTTTACGACAAGGCCACACAGGCGGTTTCACTCAGGATAGGAGTCGTCTTACATATCTCCAGGAGTACTAACAAGTTTTATGTACCGCTGAATCCAAGATAACTCCTACCATCTACAACCTTTACAGCAACATGGATTTACTTAACAGAGGGATTCAGCTCTGTCAGCTATGGTGATTGAATGAAACACTTCCGATAAGCAGACAACGCGGAGTCTACACTTACCGATGTTGTAATGATCATGGATAACACGCGGGAAACCAAACTGAATTTGAGTTGAGTGAAACACTGGCGTTTCATCAAGACACAGAGGTTGCATCCATTAAATCATTTCAAAAGACAGACAAATGGCTATGGATGTGGCTAGCATTTCCAGTAACATTGGTTATGGCACCATACCAAGTAATACACTGGAAATAAAGGAAACTGACTTGGGAGTTAACAGTACAGGCGGACCTTCTGGTATGTTGCTAGGTACAGCAAACCTTGTTGTCCTAGGCATCGTGCTATGTATTTGTATGTTACTGATAGTCTTTGGTAATACGTTAGTGATTGTAGCTGTCTATCGAGACAGATCACTTCGCCGAAGTGTTACTAACTATTTCATCGTCTCGCTAGCATTTGCCGATTTATTAATCGGGGGAGTCGTTGTTCCGATAGCCATTATAGATATGTTGAATAATGGCTATTGGTTTCTTGGCCAAGCTGTGTGTGATTTATGGCATGCACTTGACATATTAAGCTGTACTGCTTCCATACTGAATCTCTGCGTGATATCGTTAGACCGATTTTGGGCAGTGACACACCCGTTAAGTTATCCCAGAAGAATGACCAGAAAAGTGGCGTTGTTATTCATCGTGCTAGTATGGTGCTGTTCTGCATTTATATCCTTCCCATGTATTGCATGGTGGCATGCAGTCGAGGAACCAACGCCAGACAATGTCTGCATTTTCCCTTCGGATGCCTTTTATCTTGTGTTATCTTCATGCGTGTCATTCTATGTCCCATCTATTATAATGTTATTCATGTATTTTCGGATATATCGGGCTGCTGCAGCACAGATGCGCCATATCCGATCTGGGACAAAGTTGGTATCGACGGGAAAGAATAATCCAGAATCTAACGGTACCGTGTCACTGCGGATCCATCGCGGCGGAGCAGCTTCGTATAACAACGGTACGGGTAATAAGCGATACTCGGTGGCCACTGATTCCCGAACTCATGCAAACCAGATCATGGGAAGGCGGATGCTTTCAAGAATGAACCGTGAACATAAAGCCGCTAAAACTCTAGGGATCGTGGTTGGAGTTTTTGTGGTGTGTTGGCTGCCATTTTTTGTTCTCAATGTTACGAGCCCACTATGTCCAACTTGTATCTCGTCGCCAAATATTGTCATGCCATTAGTCACATGGCTTGGCTATATAAACAGTGCACTAAACCCTGCTATCTATGCCTTTACCAACAAAAGTTTCAAGCGAGCTTACAAGAAGATTCTTTGTCGATGTGGAAGAAGGCAAAGAGGACACTTTTTGAGTCGGGATGGAACCACTTTCATGAGCATTGATTCAACTTATAGCATGGCCGACATGGGACCAGCGACACCATCGCCCTAACACAGTGTTCTGTGACAATGAATTGTCCCAGTAGCTGAAGCTTCAAGTTTCATTGTTAATGGTAAATGACCATTTAAATTGAAGATGTGATTTATATCTTGTGCATGACTAAAACTATACATGTACAGATATCTCTCCAATCCACTTTGTTGTCGTAATAAAGAAAGCGTCATTCAGTTCTCGGAAATCCTCCAATCTACAATGGTTGTTTTAACGCAGGAAAAGCACACCAGGTTTAGATTTGGTCGTAACTAACAACCGGAGTATTATTGCAGAGAAAATTACGCCAGTGGTGAAAGCTTCTAAACAAAACCGTTAGCAAACTGCATGCATCCTCGATATCATTTTTTGTACTAAATCATTTTGTTTCTTTTGTGACAGGGTAATTTCAATGCATTATACCTCAATTAAACTGCGCTTGCATGAAACAAGTTGTTTTAAAATAATTAACACTACCGGTAGCACCATGAATTGAAATCCATTTTCACGACTGGGCACATTGATATGGAGAATTTTACTGCACGGTAAAATGATTTGAAAAGCTGAATGTAATTGGCAGGAAATCTAAGTGCCGTATTTCTGGATTGTTCTTTGTGCTACGTCATGGGAATGAGAAGCTTGAAAACCACTTTTTCTAGGGATATCATAACATAGAGGATTAGAGGATGAAGTGTAAGTGAGAAAATGACAAATACATTGACACTGAATGTATGAGAGACAGGATGACAGACTAAAGATTGTGAATGAGGGTTGGAGGTACAATGTTCAGTTATAACTTTGATTTGAAAATATTTGAAAATCATCTTTACAGTATGAATGAAACATTTTGTGGGGTTCAAGAGTAGCCATGTGCAATCTGAAGCGTAATGTTAACTATCTCACTACAAAGCACACCAAATTTTACCTTTTAGTAGTAAATAGTGCAAAATGTAAAACGACAGTTAAAATACTTAGCGGTCCAGAGGGAGATACGAAGGATGCAAATTGGAAAGAGTAATGTGAGAATTAGAGAGACAAATGTAGAGAAAGGTTGGAAAGAAGTTTCAGGAGCGGCAAGTGTGGAAATGAAAGGAAAAAGACTTATGATATCTGTCAAGGAAATTATGTGTCAAGTGGAGACTGTGTTCATAACCCTGAAAGTTACAGAGAGAATGAGGTGTATCAGAATGATTCACTTGTGAAATTGGGAGGAGAGAAGGAGAAATATGGATAAGAGATTAAAAAAGGAATCGATGAAGAGTGTACAGAGACAACGAAATGTTGATGGGATGTTTGCCAGGAAACTAAAACGAGAAAGAATTGGAAACTGAGGAGAACGCAGAGGGTGCAAACATGGGATGAAAATACAGAAAATGAAAGAAGACATGGTCAGTGCCACCGCAATGCGATCACCGTTCAGGTCGTTGTGTGCTTGTTCGTGGTATTGGCAAGCATATAAATTGCATAGTCCTAACAATGCGACACAAAACAGGACACGGTGCACTGTCAGATATCTAACGATGCAAGAATTGTTCAGACCTGGCCTACCCAGGATTACAGAAATCTGAGATCAAATTGAATTATCGTCATCATTATCATATCCTATTGGTAAAATACTGGACGACGTGGTTTCTTCCTGAGCAAATCATTCAGGCATAGTGCGAAGGACATGTGGCGTTATATTGACGTCAGCTTGCTGACGAGCAACAAACTGTCAGGAAGCGCAATACCTGACCGTCCACAATTCGCACCAAAGAAAAATATGTCTCGGGGAAGTAGGAATTCAGTTACACGTTCAATCTAACTTGACGTTGTGAATGTGCACAATGAGAAATAAAAGGATGCGACAGACGAGGTGGGTATCGTGTTGAAAAGAGAAATTGAAGGGATCCAGCGTGAGATTTAGAGACCGTTTTCACTTTAGGCGCAGATTAAAATAAACACTTTCTATGATCAGAAATCGGGACTTGACTTAAGGCCAAGTTCTCATTTCACTGGTATCTGTGCATAAACAGTGAAGATATAAAAGAACAGGTGTTTCATCGCCTACATTTACTTTAATATGCAATATTGGCAATTTCGAAAGCCGATAATATCATCCTTGAGTGAAAATTTCTAGTGCGGTGAGGAGGTGTTTCTAACTGTCCTTGTGTTCTGCTCAAAACGTAGGTATAATCATTTCCCGAAAACCCCAGTCACATTTACCCTGAGGCTGTCAATATTAATACACGTATTGAATTTTTCTTTCTTCTAAAACGTAGTAGGGCCCAAGTTCATTTCAAGATGTTTTAATAACAGAAATTACTGACTCTGAATATAATGCACTAAGAAGCACTGTATAAATATCTATCCAGAAAAAATACACTAAGCGAATATTGTGAGAGCTTTATTCCTCACGTGTTCACGTCAAAAAGCCTCTCTCGCGATTAAAATTGTACATTTGCCTTATGATATGGAGGGTGTGTTTTTACTGGCTTTGTTCGGTAGGTTTTGAATCACATCACAACACGTCATTAAGTCATTCAGCTCTGATAGTAAGAATTGAATTAATTCGTGATTTTGTGAGCATGTTTCATCTGCACCATCGTCTCTAATTACAAGCATAACATACAGATCACAGCGTTGGGAATTTAAATCGAAAGCAGTAGATTTGCTTTTAAAAATCTGATTCTAAAGCATTCCAATCCGTCTCACGTGAGGTGTTTTCGGTGTTGGATGGGAAAAAATGTCAGAAAGGGTTGGATATGTAATTTATTGGTTACTTAGTGTCAGTGGCTTTTAATGTAACCCAACCTCGACACGGAAATAGTCTAGTTTTCAGTCACCTTATCACATCAAGGATTTCACTTGATTAAGGCCGAGTTGTATAAATCAAAATCTGAAAGGAAACTCAGAGTTTCCAACCTTGCTCTTCCTGTCGTCGCGTCTGAAACTATTCTACCGCAAGGCCGGATTTATGGTTATACCTATCGGAATTATCTGACCTTTTCCATCAATTAAAATGATTGAGTCGATTGGGAGTAAAGTTTAACATGCAAACGTATACTTGACCTTCAAAAACCACTAGAATTCTTATATTTAAGAGTTATGTCTTTTATTAATTTAAATTAAAGCTGCATGATTCCAACGATGAAGTTGTGCTGTGCTGGAACACTTATGATGGACGAAAAACATATTAAGATATGTAAGCGTCTGCAGGACACGCACTTAAGACGTTGAAACCGTGGGTTGGGATATGGAATTTAATTCACTTTGATGTACCTGGCAATCAAATTACTTAATGTAAATAGGTGCGCTATAGAATGTAATAAAATCTAACCAAATTATGCCAAGAGAGAATATGAAAATATTACATTTACCATTTAACCGCTACGTGCAGACGTTTCACATTAATGGTTTTCTCCTATCTGGGGATGAAGTAAAAAACAAATACATGTGTTCATGGAGTTCTATACTTCATCTTTCAATACCCTGCGATGCAAGGAACATTTTGATAAAGTCAGAATGACATGTACATTTTAATGAAATCTTTTAGGGAAAATGCACAACACACAGAACATACATAGCACCGTTGTCGACGTATGAACAATCTACGCAACCTGTAAACAAGATGTGGCGTTATATCTATCTACACATCACACACACTTAAAATAAACTCAACCATGTACCTCATGCTAAGCAGATAACAGCAACGCAAACTATACAGTTTATGTATAAGTATATAGTGTTCAGTACACTCAACCCTTTACAACATTTTACCTACATTTACAACATTTACCATTCAGCGACATATTCAGCTTTCGATGTCAGGGCTTTCGTACTCTGTTGCTTACCTTCAGTTAAGCACTTTAAGTTTTTTGGCATCATTCCGTTTGTTCTTAGTAAGTCTTCTGTGAAATAACACTTACGTACAAACATTTGCTTAAAACTTCCAAAGGAGGGGTAAGTTATCTGGCTTCTGGCTGCATTCGCCGCTAACTGAAATGGATTGTACTTTGTTGGTCAAGCGACAAGAACACACTAACCTTCAGAAGTCTTGATTTATGTTGAACTTCGCAATAGGATGAATTTAGTATTCAGCGATAAACTTTGTTTTCTAGTCACAATCACATAATCGAAATTTAGGCGAAGCCTTGTGCAAAAACTTCTACGCAAGGATGCAGAAATCTTCAGTCATGACTGAATTCCTGATGTGCAGCGAACCTTTCATGCTACGGATAACAAATCGGTCATTACAATTCTTGAAAACTAATATATTGCCCAATTTGGTTTGGACTATATGCCTGAAGCCTCACTTGATGCGATGGGAATACATTGTGTCGTTTTTCATGCCTTTCAAATTCAGTCAAGCGTATACTGATGTACATTCCAACATCATCATTTTATCAATCCTTAACTAAACAACATGTCGTAAAGCAACAAAACAATCCGCTAAAATGTTTGGAGAAAACTGAACAGCTAATGATGCAACGGTGTTGTTTTTTTCCCGCGTCTTTTCACGTCACTTATCTGGTAGATAATCCAAGATCAATATAATCTCCGTCGGAGGTCATTCGGACAATCTATTGCCCTTATGTGACTTTGTGTCGTTAGGAAAATGTTGTCCCTGGAGACATAAACTCAAATTAACTCGTGCAAGCCTGAGCGGAGTTGGATTAAGTTGATAGGTTGGGTGGATTAATCCAATTCAAACAAATTAAAACAAACGAAGCAAGAATGGATGACCCAATGAAATGTATCATAAGAAGCATTCTGAATGAATAAATATGGATGTTATTGTTGTCGTTGGCTTATAATGTAAACTGACTACCGCAGGCAAAAGTTGAGAAATCGGGTTCCTATAAATTCAAGATGTATAATTATAAGACAATACAAGACAGCGCAGAACTCCTACAGCGCTTTGGGACTGTTTCCATTGTAACGACGTGATGTCATTCATTTTCTTGGTAAGATTCCAGTAATTAATTGCTCCATAATTCAATACATACTTAGAACATGGAGGAAGGAAAACTTCCTCCATGCTTAGAAAGAGTGGATAGTTAGTGACCCAATAGAGCAGACAGAGCAGCCGTCCAACATCCACCTGATGTTTCCAAATTTGGAAATTACAAAGCCAAAACGTAACTATTCGGCCTCAGCCAAAAAAAAAAAAATTAGTGATTGCTAGATGTAATACCAGTAAGCATTGAGTACCGACACGAACTAGAGACTGCTACCGTGAAGGGTAAACAAACCCCATGGCAATGGGGATTAATTAAAATACTTGCCACTGATAACTGATGTCTTGTTCGCTATGCAAACGGCTATTTTATGCAAACGAAAAAGCAAATATACTGTGACTTTATGCTACCATTTCTCTCTTTTGATTTCTGCCATAGTACTCAAATGTAAGCCTCACCGGATTTCACCATGGCATCTTCATACCACATCTTGCTCTTACAAGTCCCCACCTTACCGACAACGAACAAAACCAAATCAAATTGGTTCTTGCAGCTTGCCGCCACAATTGACTTAAAAGCCCCACCATTCAGGTGGGATTTTACGACTGAACGTCCAAAGTGAAATAATACTAACCAAGGCCGTATATTCGGCTCACATCTATTCACGGGCAACTTTCCTGTGGTACGCAGGACACATCGCCATTTGCATGTGAATGGTAAGTGCATGTGCGGTACTAATGCAGAACACCATAGACAATCACGGTACTCTACCTGATTTATTAAAATATTCAATATAAACATGAAAAATGCGTATTGATTTTGAATTCTCAAAATTAAGAAGGCGTTGTGTCAGCCTAAATGTTAAATGGGCTACGGAATATACATGTATACAATCAAACTGGCCAGGCAATTCCAACCATTTTGGTGTGTCTGTCTTCAGCAGCTGAATTTATCAACCGAGAAATGACTGCCGTACTTTTTCCAGGAGTCATTTGATGGTCATGTGTTTACACTTGTCGCGCAGCTGGCGTCTGTCACCACGTTCTCTTCACTGATGGATCAGTGCACAAGGGTTAAGCAAGGAGATGGAATGTTTTTTACATAGGTGGTGAACAGATGAGGCAAGCAGTTTTATAGAGCAAACAAAACTGCGGCCATCTCCTCTAAACAAAGATTTTTGGTGACATTATCAAAATATTAGGACAGAATGCAAACTTTGGTTACAATCAAACTAAAAATGATTGCTTGAGGCATGTACATGGTAATGATGATATTTGTCAAGTGAAGACAAAAGTTTACAAGCGAATGTATAGAAAAAATGCACAACTGGTGCTGCTAGCGGTTGATAAAGACGATTATGTTGCAACCACTCGTCTCGGAAACTTTTGTAGACGAAATTCGTCACTTTTCACTCATCACGACTTGCGTCGTTATAATACTGAGAAACACAATCCGTGAAAAGATCTGGAACAGAATTCGAAACTGCTGAAATTGAAAGGCCAATGTAATTTATTGTTTTCGTAGTACACACGAACAACATCGTATTGTTAACCAATGTTGTTGAAAGATCATCCGGAAACATCCGGATGACGAACATGTTGAAAATAATAACATGATTAGAATAAATTCAACACTTGAATAACCTTGTTTAACATTTTAAGCAAGGTTGTTCAGGTATCCTGCTGAAACAGCAGTTGTTTAAATTATTTTAACTGTGAGCAAAAAGGCATTCAAACCTACACTCATTAATTTGAATAACGAGGCCCATTTTATAACCGTTTACTATAGTCTGTGGCGATCTTGTTACAATGGCACGAGGAGACATATTCCAAGCGACCCAGCACCAAAACAAACAAATCCAAAGTGTGCTGTTTATTCAGAGGAAACTAATTTCACTGTCTGGAAGACCTTCGTGACTGGAGTCTCGGGGGTTGCTGGATGTGATACATGTTCAGATAAGACATTCATACAATTACTTAACTGGGCATAGGCATGCACACGAAGGTGAAGGTGGTTAATACAGAGAAAGGCACTAGATAGAAAACGTGAAAGGAAATAGACCTGTCAGATTAGGTGGTTGGTTGACGTTGCTTTAGCCTTACCCAATATATCCTTTGCCCGTCATTCAAATCAGTCAAATTAAAATGAGAACCGACGTGGGAACACAAGGGGGGGGAAACGCTAATCTTGAAATGATCCATTCAATCCCTCGTTTAAAAAGGGATGGATATATGCAAGACACTACTGAAGAAACAATTCCTCGAAAATAGAATAAGGTGGAAATACAGAAGGAAAAAATATAAACTTTCATTCCTTCCTCAAAAACACAAAAATGGGGGAAGCCAAAACAGTTTCTTGAAATTAATGGAAACGTGAAATCCACACAGATAAACCGATAAAACCCATTTTACTTGTTTCAAACAATGAATACGCAACGAGCAACGCCGAAGACTCGGATTAGGAATGAAGGAAAACAACCAACAGCCAAAGCAAACACTCGTGGTAATTGGACAAATAGTCTGGACAAATTTAGGAAGTCTCATCGGCTCATGTTGCCACGCAGTCTGAATGGCAATATTTTCATATTATCATTTACTGAAATTCTCCAGGTACAGTCCTGGGATTTGAAAGACTGCGCTTACCGGTATCTCATGCTCTGTAAAAGTCTTCACAAACCCCTTGTTATTTCTAGCTGAACGAATAATTCATACCTTATATAGTCCTGTTGAAACTAAACAGTAATTGCCACTACTATAAAAAAGATGGGACGTTGTCACATCCTTGAAGGGAAAGTTTTTTTCTTTAAAAACTGGATTAGAATCAAATGTAATGGATTTAAGGTTTCAGTGATTACTTTGTAATGAAGACTTACCGTACCCATTTTATCCGTTGGAAATAATGATATCAGTGATAGCTGTCATTGACATATTTCAGGAAGCAATTTGAGGAACATCAATTCTACTGAATATCATAGGTAATAATGATGGAACTCAATGGGTTCTGCTATTCCGTCTGTCATTAAAGAGACACATTTGACAGTAAGACACTCAGTAAGACGTTTTACCGTTGGAATCTTTAGGACTGATGTCAAAAACTACTTAGGAATGGCTTGAAAACACCAATAACGTATCAACCAGGGTATAGTGTACATGAATACCATAAAATCGATATGATTTTAATTTTTGATTCCTTGATAAGGCACAGTTTGCCGTTGTACAAAAGGTAGCAGTTAGCTGATGCGCACTGTAGACTATATACTGTATTATGTTGAATCGATGATGATGGAAAGTGATGAAACAAGAGCAGAGACTTGCCATCAAGAATGAAAAACTGAGGACTATTCCATCCCACGCACACGAAGCCAACCACACCCACATGCGCACAGATCAACCATCAGCAAAGGTGACATGAGAAAAGCACGGAAGGAGTTTCAACATGTTCTGAGTGAGCGGGCAATATTAAGCATGACCGCGCGGTCTCAGTGGATTTATTCCCCTACCAAATTTTGCTCTGCAAGATCTACCTCCAAGCCTCGTGTCGGAACTCCCTGAAACATGATCCCCGGTGTAATGGCCAAGTAACGTGCGAACATGTACAAAATATGAAGAGATGGAAATACAAATTGTGGACTATTGACAAGTGACAAATGCCAAGTCTGAGTGCCTAAAAGGGTCGTTTCCTCTGGTCGGAGTAGTTGGGGATAAATCGATCTCTGGATGGTCGTATTCTGATAATACCATCCGTCCACATGATGTCCCTTGCCTCTGTCGTATTATCCAACATATTGGTATATGTGATTGCAATTCATCATTCATAAATCCATAATATCATAAAGCTTATTCCACGGGCTCATTGTTTCATGGGAGTGTCCACTTTAGTATCACTTTACAACATTAATTACTTGATAGCGTCTTTGAGACAGATTCTGTCCAAGTATCGAAGCATTCTAGCTTTCTCGATTCGTGTACTTCAGGTCGATGTAAAGGCAGCAAACAGTTTGTCCCAGTTTTCACACTTTTCTTCACTTTATTGCAGGGACAATTCAAGGAAAAGAATTACCAACGTTTTGAGAAAACATGCTATGTGAGAAAATTTTATATATATATATATAAAATATATATATATATATATATATATATATATATATATATATATATATATATATATATATATATATATATATATATATATATATATATATATGAGAGAAAAAATCTAAGAGGTATCTATATATATATATATGAGAGAAAAAATCTAAGAGGTATCTGGAACAACCAGGCGTGGATGGGGGGGGTCGAGCCCCCGCTCTGAGACAAAAAGGTAAAAGTAACATTTGAAAAAAATATTACAAAATAACTAGCATCCTGAAGATTCTTCTTACGTGTACAAGGTGAGTGCTATAAATAGGAGACTATATGGTCCGTAAAAATGAGACAGTAAGAAATTGTATAGCCTGACACCCCCCGGATCATTTCCTGGATCCGACCCTGACAACATTGCAATAAGAACGGGGAACCTGGTTTTTGCCAGTTTGCCAATTCAAGCCCATTTGAGGGAAGAATGCTCATAACATGCGTCATATCTAATAGACACAGGGATTTGCAAGGTGAACGCCAGCGCCCGGGATTTCTTTCTTGATAATTTTTTTTTATTTCCCCGACATGAACCACTGCCCATATCGATCCTTAAAATAAACTCGAAGAGTCGGAATCGATTTCTGCATATCATAGCACTGAACTTTATTTGGATGGCATTTGTACTTCAATACCGTACAAGTCGATTTCCTGGATTTGTCGTCTTCCATTCCCTTGTCTGTGCAAAACATTGATTTTACGTTTGCAGTCGAAATACAATGCAAAGCTATGTTACAAAACAGCGTTTCCGGGGTAGACGACCCAGTTCAAAGAAAGTGTGCATGGAACTTACGAAGTTATTGCAGGTGACTCGATCTTTCATCGGGTAAAAGGATGTGGTAACCACCCACACGGACACTCAAAATATCTGATTTGCAAATGGGCAAATCATCTGAAAATGATCCTTGTAAACGGATCTTTCTTTAAGAACTTGAGAGGAAAAAAAGCGATGCCTAAAGTCGAAGTGTTTACATGCGGTACAAGTCAAAGATATCCAAGCCAACAGAAAACAACCCCTAAAAACAGGGGGAAAATACCAAAATTGGCTTACATATACTAGAAGCTCAGCCTCCACCCACTCTTTTAATCAAGGAACCTTTTTCAATTATGTCTTCCCGCACGTTGTGGTGTTTTGCAATCCAATTAAAGCGATCAGGTCTTTATTCCTGATCGGTCCAATAAGCATTTCTCTGATAAGCATAGACTGTGCCATACATAGTGTCGTGTTCTTTGTGCAAGATTTATCAAAATGAAGCGCTATCAACAGTTCATTCGCGTGGAAAACTCTTGAAGAAGCGCAGTTTTAATACAATCTGCACTTTCTTTGTGTCTAGCACCCTGTCATTCGTATGCTTTCCGCATGGAATCGATTCTTCCTGGTAGGTGATCTGACTACAAATCCCAGACACTAACATGCGTGTGTGTGAACTTAACACGAGACAATGTGTGCATGAACATGTCAAAGACACATACCGACCCTCTACCCCAGGAAAACGATTAGCTGTCTACACTATAATACTGGACTTGATGGAGACTTCAGCAAGGATCGATACATCTCCAGAAGACAAGAGCCGTATACTTATTATACGTTCAACGGAATTTGTACGCGTTTATGTAGAGGTAAAGCCTTAAACATTCATACACAACGTCGTGAGTTCACTAACACCAAACACAATGCAGTCTCTCTGTATAGACACTCTACAGTTTCAAGAATTACTGAGTAGCTACCCATATGCAACGGATTCATGATATCCGGCATTGACGACACAGTCATACACTAGAATATCCACAGAAATTCTTCATTTTTCGACACTCTGGATCTGTTTTTCGGCGCAGCTTTCTGTAACTAATTTACTTATTGTACTTTTCTTTTTCCTTTTTGCATGTACAACATGACTTAATGTAATTACTTTGACTCAATGCTTTAAGTCAGACACGTTGTCCCTAAGGCGTATGTTTCACTTCATCAAATTAACACTGTACCGACAGAACATCAGTCGGTATGTCACCTTGGCCCTAACAGACGTATTCTCTATCCCAGGGATCCAATTTTATCGAATTACACACCCCAAGGGCTTAATTAATAATTGGCTTTAAAACGAGGTTGTTGAACTTCATGGAATGCTACAATTAATCCAATCTAAATAACTCACCGTCACGCATTCTTGTGACCAAGTTTACCATACACACGTTAAGGTACGTATGCGAGGGAAGATTGAAGTTCTTACATAAGACAATCAGTTGGTGCCCAGAAACCAGAGTTAATGTGCACGGTGTGGCTTCTTACATTAATGAATCTGTCTTTTTGTGAGCCAGTATAATGAAGATGGCACCATGTTATTTAGTAGATTTATAAGCCTTGCCCTAGTGACTTCATTGTCCCAGACTACCGTGACACGCATCTATAACAAAATTCCTCACACGTACTGTTTATAGAGCGGTTTGGCGTATTCACCTCCAGGTTTATCTTCAAGTGGGATCTACTTACACACGTGGGAGTGTCCGTCTTTTAACGACTAACGGAAGATCTAACGGCATTTTGATTGTGATAATAAGTACAGGTCGATGGACCC